ATATACTATAGTATATCCCATAAATTAGCATATATTATGTAAATTCCATATTATGTGTTACAGGATCTGAGCCCGGGGGTGGAGCAGCTGCTCCGGGCTCTGCTCCAGGGGAAAAACCATCCGAGCCCTCACCCAGGACCCCAAAGCTCCAGGCGGGAGCTCAGGAGACCCCAAAAACTCTCAGGTGACCCCAAAAACTCTCAGGTGACCCCAAAGCTCCAGGCGGGAGCTCAGGTGACCCCAAAGTTCTCAGGTGACCCCAAAGCTCCAGGCGGGAGCTCAAGTGACCCCAAAGCTCTCAAGTGACCCCAAAGCTCTCCGGTGACCCTAAAAGCTCCAGGCGGGAGCTCAGGTGACCCCAAAAACTCTCAGGTGACCCCAAAAACTCTCAGGTGACCCCAAAGTTCTCAGATGACCCCAAAGCTCCCAGGTGACCCCAAAGCTCTTGGGTGACCCCAAAGTTCTCAGGTGACCCCAAAAGCTCTCAGGTGACCCCAAAGTTCTCAGGTGACCCCAAAAGCTCTCAGGTGACCCCAAAGCTCTCAGGTGACCCCAAAGCTCCAGGTGGGAGCTCAGGAGACCCCAAAAGCTCTCGGATGACCCCAAAGCTCTGAGGTGACCCCAAAGCTCTCAGATTACCCCAAAAACTCTCAGGTGACCCCAAAGCTCTCAGGTGACCCCCAAAGCTCCAGGCGGGAGCTCAGGTGACCCCAAAGTTCTGAGGTGACCCCAAAGCTCTCAGATGACCCCAAAAGCTCCCAGGTGACCCCAAAGCTCTCAGGTGACCCCAAAGCTCCAGGTGGGAGCTCAGGAGACCCCAAAGTTCTCAGGTGACCCCAAAAGCTCCCAGGTGACCCCAAAGTTCTCAGGTGACCCCAAAAGCTCTGAGGTGACCCCAAAGCTCTCGGGTGACCCCCAAAGCTCTCAGGTGACCCCAAAGTTCTCAGATGACCCCAAAAGCTCCCAGGTGACCCCAAAGCTCCCAGGTGACCCCAAAGCTCTCAGGTGACTCCAAAGCTCTCAGGTGACCCCAAAGTTCTCAGGTGACCCCCAAAGCTCTCAGGTGACCCCAAAGCTCCCAGGTGACCCCAAAGCTCTCAGGTGACCCCAAAGCTCTCAGGTGACCCCAAAGCTCTGAGATGACCCCAAAGCTCCAGGTGGGAGCTCAGGAGACCCCAAAGCTCTCAGGTGACCCCAAAGCTCTCAGGTGACCCCAAAAGCTCTCAGGTGACTCCGGGTGAGCTCCAAGGGCTCAACGGGCTCCCAAAAAAAGCCGCTGGAGAAAGGGAACACCCCTGGGAGAAAGGGAACACCCTCGGGAGAAAGGGAACACCCTCGGGAGAAAGGGAACACCCTCGGGAGAAAGGGAACACCCTCGGGAGAAAGGGAACACCCTCGGCCAGGGTGG